CTTCAGCCAATCAGTCCTCTAATTAGTAATCTAATTAGGGATTTGCCGTGAAAACCCGCATACACACCGGCCCTTTGCGCATAAGATTGGCCACCCCTGGTCTAGGTCTAAGTCTATACTACTTTAATGCTGAAAGGGGGTTGGGTGATCTGTGACTTTGGTTTTGGGCTTTATTGGGGATCTTGATGTGACAGTGCGAGCTCCCGCCCTAATGCTAAATAGGGTCCATGTGGAAGGATTAGCAAGCAGGGCAGCGTCAGGAGTAATGCTACAGTATTTGTGAGGACACTGATTGTGGAGTGAGTAGATAAAAGGTCAATCTCAGCAATTAGCAGTTCCCAAGCCCTGGTCCACGGATTGCATGTGAAAGAAACGGAAACAGTTCATGCTTATTTATGCTCCTGCATAGAATCTATACCATTGTATAGATCATGTACCTCTCCAGAAATGTAACAGGCCTCAGGCTATGGTGTAGGGTAGTCCTACATGGCACGTAGGCTATCAACGGCATAGATTCTATGCAGAAGTATAAATCAGCTTCTAAACTTATTAAAATTATAGAATCTGTCAACAAGTTTTACTAATCTATTAATGTTTCACATAAGGTAGGTCAGTCCATAGTCATCAAAGGTTTAGGAGCCCCAACTTGTATGTTAAGCCATCTCTTGGATCGTATTATATGCTGGTAGAGACATATTGACCTACTAGAATTGGTGTGATTGTCCTTCAGTTTTCCTTTTGTTTTTTTAGTTCACTGTGTGCCAGTATTTGAAATGACACGCGGCTGGAAGCTACCGTCTTTTCAGCCCACATTAACCTTTGAACTGTTTGAAAATCTGGGGCTCTTTTCTATGTAACAAATCCACCGATCCACTTTTAATGTCATGGACAGATTAGAGGTAAATGCAAATTAAATATACAGTACATTGCAGCCAGCACAATGGAGAATAGGTTGCCATGGGAATGAGATTTGTTAGTTGAAGTGACACATTTTCGTGATGTGTGGAGTGCTCGCTAAGAAACGTTATGCAAGAACCCCCCCCCCCCCTGATCCAGTGGTGAACTTGCATGGGCGGACGCTCTTTGTACAAAAAGCAAGAGCATAGTGCCAAGTAGAAAGAGGTATGTGTTTGAAATTAACCTGAGCTTGATTATTTGCTGATTCCCAGTCATGGCTGGCTCCTTGAGCTGGGTGGTAAAGGCACAGGTCACTGGGCACTGGGTTTCCTCTCCCCGGGAGAACGGAGGGGCAGAACTGGGCACAGGTCACTGGGCACTGGGTTTCCTCTCCCCGCTCCAGTAGATTTCCTGCCACTATTGCAAAAAAATTAAAGCAAGTATAAGTTTCTTATATTTAGACAAAATTCTAACGTCTTTCATAAGCTGACTTACAATACATCTTATGAATAAGATTCATTTTCCTTGAATTTAGGCATATTGTTGTCTTTTAGGAAGCACCGAGTACAATGTTCTTACTGCACTGGAAAGGCCATTTTTTGCAGTGTGCCGCTTCTGTGAGAATAACACGGTGCCCTTGAACCCGCTACTCTCAATAAGAGGCTGCATCTCTTCACTTTTTGGGCACACAAGGCTGAAAAAGAAAAGTCTTACCTTTGTGTTTCCCTGCAAGGCAGTGGGTAGCGTCATGGTCTCATGCAGTCTGCACTGGGGGGGGTTTGCATCGCGTCCACACTTGTGTGGAGTTTACGTGTGTCTTGTGGGTTTCCTCTGGCTACTCTGGTTTGATGTGCATCCTATCCAGGGTGTAGACTGTAGAGCATAACACATTTGTTCTGTTGTAGCGCATGACACATTTTATTTAGCAGTACAGAATCTAATGAGTCTGGATGCCCTGATTCTAGGAGGTGTTTGTGTACAAGATGCAGGATTAGTAATAATCGGATCTGTATGTATCCTGGCCTCACAAGGAATGTATAAACAACTCGACCTTCTGCCTGCATCAGTGTTAAACACACCCTGTGGCTGGGTAACCCTTTCAACATCCTGTTTGATTGTTTTATTAAAAGATGCTGCCGTGTCACAATGCTGATGAGTAAGAGAAAGTGGGAAAAACGCAAAGAAAACAAAGGAAAATGTCTTTTTTTTTGTTTTCAAGTATACCCAGAGAAGGTGTTTCTTTGTATTTTTATTTTTTTTTTGGTATTTTCCTACATGCAGTAATGTTTGAACAGATACCTTTCAGCAGAGCATCAAATCGAAATGTAAATGCCCCCAGGCACCTGTGTTCAGAAGAGGTCACCCCGCTTAGAGGGAGACGTGGATCGGCGGAGTAGCTTTTGCAGGCCGAGAGCGGTTATGTAAGCCTGCCTACCTTATGAGCGCTATCACAGTCCCGCTTTTCCCTGCGTTAACTTTCTGAGGACTGCAAATGAGGGGGGTCGAGTGCAGATAAGTCGAGGTATAAGATACACTTTATTGATCCGAGGGGGAAACTCTTAAAAATCAGACGAGAGCGTGAACACAGTCCCCCAGTACCAGAAACTGTGCCGTAGAGATTCCCACATTGGTGAAATTGCCTGGGGTGAGCGGCTGTTCCTCACCGCAGGAGAACCACCTCCATGATTAGTGTCCCCCTACCAGGAAAGCATGTTCCCTGATCTCCACAGATGACTCAAATACTTAAAAATGCAAGGTTTGGGGGGGGGGGGGCGTTGACTGCATGACTGTGGTCAATGGGACACCAACAGGGACCCCTGATTGGCCAGTTTGGCTGCGATGGTCGCCCAGTCCTTAAAGAGCAGCTCAGCTTTAAGTGTCGTCTTTGACCTCAAATCAGACTTGAGACTTGATGACGCTAGCAGGGGCTGCTTATATAAATCCATCCATTCATCTCTTTTTCACGCCATTCCTCTTAGTGATGGCCATGCAGCTTTTCAAGAAATCAATAGGTTTTCCCATTTATAGGCTTGTACATTTCCTTGTTTTATAGTTTCTTGGAAAAGAACATTCAGTTTTTATTTAGGTGAGATTATTTTAACGCTTAGCAGATTACGTTAATGTGAGGTTTTTCCAGAATATGAGGGAACACTATACCTTTAAGGGACCTGCATTGACGTGACAGTCCATTTACGGTGGTCATTCTACAGTGGGCCCCAAAATTCACACCCCTGACCTGCAAAGACCACGCGTGCAAACCTGGGGTGATTCTCAATACCCAGAATGCAAGGATGGTGCTTGTGGTCTTGACAAAACCAGTCTTGCTAACTTTCCTTCCTAGAATGAACTTGGGGCACAATGAATCATGGGATGGGACTCATTCATTGAGGATGCAACCGATATATCGTTGATATTTGGGGGGATTTTTTTCTGTCCTGAGAATTCAAGTACGGTCAAGTACGCATATGGAGGTTCCCTTTTTCTCATATCTCAGCTTCTTCCCAGCCCGAGCTTTTAGGCCTGACCTGGGGACCCCGTTTGGCATCCTAGTCACTCATCAGTCATGTCCCATTAGCGCCTTTTGAGGTTGGCGGTGAGGAAACCATGGTTACCGCCGGCCTGTGTGGTGCTGATAGCCTTTTACTGGAGCAGTGAGTGCCTCCCAGCAAGGCTGTGGTGTCACAGTCATACGGAGTAAAAGTTAGCAAATAATCTGCCTCGCGTCTGTGATTTCTGCTCACGCTGCAATGCAAAGCCTCACTGTTGTCAGTCTGGCTGAGCTTGTTTTGTGCTCTTCATTGTCACTGTCACTATTAAAAGGGCAAAAAGAATATAAATCTCTGACCACTGCCACCCTGCTCAGTATCTCTTCCAGCTGATGCCCTCCAGGAGGCGCTATAGGCATTTGCAGTCCTATCTGCCAAAACATTCTGTTTTAAAAACTGTTTTTTCCCCACAGCTATAAGGACACCCATCTCTAACCCTGGCAAGGGTTACATTTGCGCTAAAATCTCCTTTGTCAATCTGTGAATTTAGGCTTGTGGTATCTGTGAACATTGTCTGTTGTGCTAGTCATTGTTTGTTTTTTTTGTTATGCTGATTGTCCAAAATGATGTTACTACTTAGCTAAGTTTCATTTAATTAAAAATGATTCTGATTCTTAGCCTTTAGGAGCATTTTAACTTCTGGTCTTTCGACGAGCTACTTGAATTTTGTAGAAATATCCAAAGTGGCCGTGGGCTGGGGTCTATCGAAAGTGTTTTCAGACATTTGAGATGGGAGCTTTGCATGTCTCAGTTTCTGTTTGGCCCTGAGGCCTAGAGATACGCGCCACATAGCACCTTTCAGTTGGTACTCAAAGTGTTTTGTGCTTTTTTTTGTGGCACAGAAGCACATTGTCAGCGGTTGCCCGCCCTGGGGGGTTTCTCAGTGTCCTTCCTCGTGCTCCAGACAGTGTTCGGCTGCTCCCCGGATGTCACATCAGGGGCTTCTCACTGCCCCTGCAGCCCGTTCCTCCATTGGAAATTAGCTGCTGAGATGAACCAATACAACAGCCACGAAAAGCGCAGTGGAATGACAGTATTTAATTGTCATTGTTGACACACTACAGTGCGCAGCCATGTGAAGTGTCCTCTGCATTTAAGCATATGTGACACAGCAGTGGGCAGCTATTATCCAGCAGCTGCGGAGCAGGTTGTGGGGGCGGTGCCTTGCTCAGGGTACCTCAGTGATACCTTGCTGGTCGGGGACTGGAACCTGCAACCTTTCTGTTTATAATCACGCTAACTCTAAATTGCCCATATTGTTTGTCTGTGTTAAGAGGGACTGGTATTCAGTACAGGCACAATGTGACTCTGTACTGCATAAGCAGTTATGGAAAATGGTTGTTCCAGTAATGCATTTCCATTTTCAATGGGAAAATGCTAATGCTAAATAATAAGTCTGTCTAATAGGATCAAAGTGCAGTGAAAGGTGTTTATGCAGCATGGTTTTATGCTGTTTTGAATTATCCATAATGCTTTGATTTTACTGACGTGGCCCAAATTGCAGAGTATTTCTATGCTGGTATAGTCAGGTCTGTTCTCTCTCCTTTAATCCCGTAGTACTACTTCCTGGTTATGTTTGGCCATGATGGCCAGAAGCCTCTGGAGCTGCGAACGGAGGAGGAGCTGGACTGCGACGACTGGGTGGATGCCATCCAGCAAGCCAGGTATGACCGGCTGGCGCTGCCAGCTCTCCAGAGCTCAATGCTGCCAATCAGATAAACTCACATCATACCACAAACCATATGTATCCCAGGTCAGCTGTCTGCCGCAGTTCTGTCCCACCCCATCACCTTCTGCTGGGAAAGCCCCCAATGAAGAATGTATTATTTACATTCAGTCGTTCGCCTTTACCTAGTGTTCGTCTAAAATAGGCTAACTGCTAAAATGCTGCTATTATTAGCCGTTATTCTGCAGTATATTAGCTGTTAAATAATAGGTGTTTTGCATAGCAGTTAGCCAGCAGGGTGAAGTGATCATTGAATGAAGCGTGTGAGTGGGGTTGGTTCTCTGTGTAGCCTTTGCTGCTGTGTTCTCCGCATGTTTAATTCATACGGGAAATGAAAGGGCTGCAGATCCACTCCAGGTGTGCGTCTGTCCACTGCTGACGTCCATATTGTCCATTTGTCAGCATTTCAACACACTATTTGTTGTCTTGAAGGATTATCGTGAAATATTTAATATTAGGGCTATATAAGGTTTACATGTATTTTACTTGACATTCTCTACCTCAACCAGCAAACAATATATAACTGTGGTTATAACCACATAGCACTGTGGTTAGACAGAAGTCATTTTGTTTCAAGTTCATATAATGCAGGTCTGTTCTAATTCCCAAGAACAGCCCAGTGTACGGTACTCAAACGTAAAAAAAACATTGATGAGAATGGGGGGAAAAACTGATTCTTTCGGTCACTGCTAATAAGCTTTGAAAGCTTTGTGCTTTTCGTATTTTTATTTCTAACCTACCTTTGGCACTTGAAAAGGAAAGTTTTATTGAAAGGCAGTCAGTAGAAGGATTTGTCATTCTGATATTAGAGCAGTAATCAATCATAGTCAATTCACCGTGATAACACTGAATCCTTGAAATCAGATGAATATTGTGCTAGTAAGATTTAATTCTGTACATTTTTCCTTATTGCCTGCCATGCTGTTTTTTGTACTGGTCATACGCAATTTTATAATTCCATCCATCCATCCATTCATCTTCCAAATCCGGTAGAGGGTTACAGTGGGTTTAAATTACATGTCTTTGTATATGTGTGCTACCTACTGAGTCATGCTGTCATGCTGTCCCACAACTGAAATTGCTGAAAACTAAAGCTTAAAGACAGTAATTAGTCTACCTCAGTGTTTCCCAATCTGGCCCTCGGGGGCCCACAGACAGTCCACGTGGTTGCTCCCTCCCACCAACTGTCTGTGGGTCCCCAAGGACCAGTTTGAGAAGCACTGGTCTAACTGCATGTCTATGGACTACAAGCAGTGGGATGACAGTGGGAGAACATGCAGACTCCACTCAGAGAACCCCCCCCAACCCTGTGAGTCAACAGTCCAACCCATGGAGTCACCACTCTGCCGCTATATGAATTATCAACATGTTACAACTTCATTACTGCTAGTACATGCAAGACCAGAGTCCTCTATCATGGTAAAACCATTAGGCCTACTTGATCTAAGCTACATTCTGTCTGTATTTGGTTGCAACAATCATGTTAGCTTGTTCCATGCTTTGTCGGGCCCACAAAGGCGATAAAAATGCAGGACAGATAAAACCCTTTATTACCTCTGAACGTGACAGGCAAAAAATAATAAAAAGGCAGGCGCCTTTGCGTGTGAATGAGCCAGACTGATTCAGCCAGATTGGTGTAGCCCACGCAGACGGAAACAAACAGTCTCTAGCCTAACAGTGGCAGTCTGTTATGTCTATTGTGTGTGTGTTTTTTTTGTTTTGTTATGTAGTATACTGCTAGCATTGTGATCTGACAGGAGACTCCTATCAGAAGAGTGATGCGTGTTTCCTGTACCTAAAAGTTGCAGTTGACTGTCTCCCAAATGACGCGTACACTAAACCGCAGTGGCTGCTCACCAGCAAACACCATGAAGACGAGTGTCTAAGGTCTAAGACCCGACTGAGGCATAAACCACATCATTATGAAGCTTTAAGGTCCACTGTTCATCCGTCATTGTCCTGTGTAATGGGCATTGCACAGTATTCAAATCTAATGCAATTACTGAACCTGCTTTGCTCATCTAAAAACATGCTCAAACTTCCATTTGCAAGCATTCAGTAATATTCTCCCCTTAATGGATATTTTCAGGTCATTTAAAATTTTTTATAGAAATCATTTTGGTTCGTAAGTTAAAACAAGCACATTTAGCTTGCAAACAACTGTAACTTATTCCACTGCATACAGTATTGTGATCATATTTTTAAAAGCAATGCCTTTCTGGCATTCTTGGAATCTTGCTGATAAAATTTGCCAAACGGGGTTGGGTCCCAGTTTATTCTGTTGCCAAGATTTCAAAATGGCATGCTATACCATATTGCCGTAATAAGGCTCGAACCTACTAACAATTTAAAAACTCTTTGGAAAAGTTTACCCACTTCTCTACATTGCTTGTATTTGTGTTTGCTGTAATACATCTACCCTTTGCTGGTCTCGTGGAAAATCATTGCTGCAGGCATGCATTGACCACGATGACCGTCTGCATCCGTGGACAAATGCAATACATAAGCAAGAGTCCGCACGTGGAAAAGTGAAGTATGTACAGTACTACGCTTAGCATATCGATGTTAACGCAGTTACAAGTGACAAGATTCATTGTCAACTATTTTTACTACTGATTATTATCAGCGTTATCTGTTAGTAGTCGCAGTCCTAGAAAGGACATATTTTTGCAGATACCTGGCCACACAAGACCAGTGTAGTTCTGTTGACAGTATAATGCACAGATAAAATTTAGTCTAAATGTATTTATCTCAATAAGAGTAGTAGCAGTCTTGGCAAGGGTGCCCCCAGAGATTTTGGGCCCCATGAAAGCATATCATATTGAGCCCTCAATCCAGACCGGTCTAATTATGTTCCCTTTTTAGAGAACCGGTCACTCAGGGCCCCTTGGAATTGGCCTCACTGTCCCCTGCTTTACAGCGTCTGGGCAGCATTGTCAGTTAGTGTCGGCAGCCCATCATTTTTTGGGAGTAGTCTTTATAGTTTGAGTGGTTGGAACCTGAAACTCAGCCCATATCTCTCTTCATGGCCTGCAGCTACTCTGACATCATCATTGAGCGTGAGGTGCTGATGCAGAAGTACATCCACCTGGTGCAGATCGTGGAGACAGAAAAGGTGGCAGCCAATCAGCTTCGCCACCAACTGGAGGACCAGGACACTGAGATTGAGAGACTTAAGGCAGAGGTAGGTGCTGGAAAATACTGCTCCACCTGTTGGTGGAAATAGAAAGATATTGATGGTTTGTTTCTTGGATAGCAACTGTGGAAACTGAAACTTATGTCCCCTCTTGGAAGATACTGCCATTGGGTCCTTTTCAAGACATTAGAGAATAGGGTTGGACCGATAGTCGAATATGCTTCATCGATTATTGCTTTCCCTTCTCTGTCTTGTAGCCCCTCAGTCCCTAGTGTGTTTCCTTGCTCCCTGGGTCACCACATAGTGCATTTGGTTGAGTGTGTCGCTCTTAGGCTGAACACCAGCAGTCTTGAGTTTGAGGCTGACCTTTAGTTTATCCTTAGCTTTTGGCATTGTTTTTCTAGATCTTTGTTTTGTGTCCCTTTTTCTATGTGTTTTCTATGTGTATTTAAGTGTCCCTGTTTTGCTCTGTTCTTTAGTTGTCTACTTTGTGGTTACTTTAGTTTTGTTCTTAATTTCCCTGTTTTGTTTCTGACTCCTCACGGTCATGGACCAAAACCAGATAGTCTATGATGATGTAAGGATCGACTCAGAGATGGATGATGGCCCTGGAGAATTCTGCTGTTATAGTTGTTATAGTCTGAGGAAGGTTGAACTTCTCCACTGTAGGAAGTCCATCCTCTTCTCCACTGTAGGAAGTCCATCCTCTTCTCCACTGTAGGAAGTCCATCCTCTTCTCCACTGTAGGAAGTACATCCTCCAATGATTAATTAATGCTCATCACAGGGAAATTTGGACATGTAACCAGTACATCTAACCTGTTCTGCTCTTCTTCCCAAGGCTAGTACGGTGTTCTCTTTACAAATTATGCTTTGTTATTCCAAAACCTGAACCACTTGACACCTTTGTATCTTAATATTTGTCTTAATATAAGTCTATGACAAAATTAAGAACTAAAATAAAAATAGAAAAATTCACATTTCATTTTTCAGTGGCACGTTTGGACTGAAAACCCAGTTGAGGTTCTATGATTTATAAATATCAGCTAATAGGGTAGCTACATTTTCTGATGTTTTGTATGTAAACAGATGTTTTGATTAGTATTTTTTCTCTTCGCTTAGATTGTCGCCCTAAATAAGACAAAGGAGAGGATGAAGCCGTACCAGGTCAATCAGGAGGAGGATGATCCAGATATTAAGAAGATTAAAAAGGTGCACTGTTGATGCTTATGCCTATGGTGACTCGATTTTGTTTGTGTGGATTCTTCATTAAAATCGGCTGAAAATACTAGGCCCGCCCGCATGCCCTCACAGCGTCCTGCATTCTAATGACATTGTGTCTCGTCCCCTTGCTGTTTCCATGCAGGTGCAGAGCTTCATGCGTGGCTGGCTGTGCAGGCGGAAGTGGAAGATCATTGTTCAGGATTATATATGCTCTCCCCATGCAGAGAGCATGAGGAAGAGGAACCAGATCGTCTTCAACATGGTGGAGGCTGAGACAGAATATGTCCTGCAGCTCTCCATACTGGTCAATTGTTTCCTGCGACCATTACGTATGGCTGCCAGTTCCAAGAAGCCTCCCATTAGCCATGATGATGTGAGCAGCATCTTCCTCAACAGGTTCGGCGAAAACCAGAGTATTATTTGTCTGAGTCTGTATCCTAATATGTGTGCTCGTTGTGGAGGTTTTTTTCCTTTATAATTCATTCTTTCCTTTTTTCCAGTGAGACAATCATGTTTTTGCATGAGATTTTCCACCAAGGCTTGAAGGCAAGGATAGCCAACTGGCCGACATTAGTTTTAGGTGAGTGCTAAGTTGTCTATGGTGATTTTTGCCAATTTATTTTTCATTCAAAGCTAAGAAGAGGGGAGTTTAAATCAAGATACTATGGTGATGTCATGGACTTTCTCTTAATGTGGTAACACCACTCCAAGGAATTCAGACTATGAAACAAGATGCTCATGGCTGCCAACGGCAAAATTATTCTTTTTTTTTGGAACAAATACAGATCATAGTTTATTTGGTTGGAAAATGAGCTTGAATGTTTTGCACAAGGAGGGCAGAATTTATGTGGGTGGGGGCCCATGGGATAAAGTCTTTTTTGGGGCGCTACCTACAGCATAAAATGTTGCTTTAACATCCATAAAATATCATTTGGGGCTCCCTACAACTTGGGCCCCGGTGCTGCAGCCTAGCTAAGCTTGTGCTTAAGTCTGGCCTTGTGCACAAGTAGGGAGGAACCGGCCTTAATTGTTCTATCCCCTCTGCCATGGCCTATAGCTGACCTCTTCGACATCTTGCTGCCAATGCTGAATATCTACCAGGAGTTTGTGCGCAACCACCAATATAGCCTGCAAGTTCTAGCTAATTGCAAGCAGAACCGCGACTTCGACAAGCTGCTGAAGCAGTATGAAGCCAATGCTGCCTGCGAGAGCAGGATGCTGGAGACCTTCCTCACCTACCCCATGTTCCAGGTAGACCCCTTAGTTAAAAACCCATACAGTACTTCAGAACCCAACTATCTTTTCTTTCCAGGGGCATCCAAGAGGCATGGCTGCCCTGGCAGATTCAGGGGACCCAGGTCTTTATAGGGGCTCCTGAATCCATCCATCCATCCATTTTTTGAAACCACTTGTCCTATGCATTGTCGTAGAACTCTTGTATAGGAAAAATAATAATTAACTTGCGGAACTTGGGGTCCCCCCCCTGCACTTGGTAAATTTATTGGTGAAACACCCCAAATTGTACAGTGGGGGACCCATAATTCTTTGGATTGAAAGAGGCAGCCCTAGTGGTGGGGTTCAAGGTGACATTTTGTCAGGGGGTGCAGAATTTCTAGCTGATAATCTGGTTCTATCTGATAATCTGAGGCATTTAAAGAATTTGGTTCTAAGCAACAAAGTTTTACATATACATTATTTTGTTTTCATGAGTTCAGAAAAGTTCAGTAAACATTGGTAATGATATACATAATATCAACATTACAGGTCTAGGTTGAGATACTATTTCAGTAATGGGAAACATCTGATGTTGTCTGTTGATATTTCATGACGCTAAATAGAAAGCCTGTTCTAAAAATTTAGCTTCATGTGAGATAAAACTTGCTTTGTATATGAGGATGGAAATCAGGACGTGCATAGCCAGCCTATTGGATTCTCAGCTTTGTACCCGTGCTATTGTCTGAAGTGTGAATAGACATTTTTTTATTAAGATTGCCTGATAATGGATGTTCTTTTGTAAAATCCGAAAGCAGAACTTCCCGTTTTGAACGTTGAACGTTATCTGTGGTAGGGGCACAAGCCTGAAGTGGTCAAATGACTGAGACCGGAGCAGCACAAGCATTAAGTTAAATTATAAAGTGATAAATAATATAGTCTCATTAATTAGGCACAGTAATGTTCCCTTGGCACTGGTCACCGTGGTTACGCCCGCATGACGCGTGATCCCCCTCTGACCCGAACAGATCCCTCGCTACATCATCACGCTCCACGAGCTGCTGGCCCACACACCCCATGATCACGTGGAGCGCATGAGTCTGGAGTTTGCCAAATCCAAGCTGGAGGAGCTATCACGGTGAGCCCGGCATGAACTGGGAAGGCGTGGAGGAGATGGTCCTCACATCAGATGTAAAGTACAGACGCTCCTCTACTTACAAACTTTCAGACATGCGAACGAAGAGGACTGTAAGTCTAAATTGTGTTCATTGGGCTCCCGTTTCCTGTCCGCAACATCAGTTTTTTTTTTCTGCGCGCCAATTCTGTCTAGTACGATTTCTGGCCGCTATTCCCGCCGCGCAGCAGCGTAGCGTGCGTACTCCCAGCTCCTTAAAATGATGTTGAAGAACGACTTACGAACATTTCAAGTTATGAACAGCCGTTCGGAACGTATCCTGCTTGTACATAGAGGAGCGTCTGTATTCCCACCATTACCTTCTGTAGTCATCAGCAGGGACTGCGGTTGAATGTATGTAGGGGGTTATGGAATGAAAATAATTGCTGATCTGTATTAAATAATAAAGCAGCAGTAATGTGGTTATAAGCTGATATTTTCACATGCAGCTTATAAAAACAGTGACAGTAGAAGTTTGTTTGCACAAATTTAACAGAGGGAGTTAAACACCAGCAGAAAAACATGTCATAGTTATGTGAGAACCATTGATTGAATACAGGTTAAAGTGTTCAATATCTTAGTAGAATATGAATGAGTGAATACAAATCACATTCAAACCCGTCCATTGTCTATCGTCGTATGCTGGACAGAGAAACAGAGGAGGGCCTGGAACCTATCCCATACAGCATAGGGACCAAGGCAGGGGTAAGCCCTAGGTGTCATGCCAGCTCAGCACAGAGTATAGGCAATATAGAGATCAGGTAGCTCACTTTATCTGTTTGGACTGTGAGGGGAAACCAGAGTAAACAAGAAAAGCCAGAAGACACAGGGAAAATATGCAAACACAGAGTGGAGAGAGATCTGAACCTCCACTCCTGAAGACTCAATAGTGATACCCAAAGAATCGTTGCGGCAACAGAAATTTTGGTTAAATGATTTACTAAGTTTACATTGCTGATTCTGTTGAGAAAACAACATATGACTGTTGTAATGCTTGCAGTAAATTTACTGTAATTACTGTAACAGAGTCATTCCACAGATACTGTACATATTATATACATCAATAAAGATAGTTACAACATAGGTATATACTAGGGTGGGGTGGAAACGACTCATTCAGAAATGTGGCGCTCAGGAGCATGTTTACACTGACATACTGGCAATATACACTATCCATTATCTATACCACAGGAGCATGCTTACACTGACATACTGGCAATATACACTATCCATTATCTATACCACAGGAGCATGCT